CCGGCCTGAACTACAGTATCCTGTTATACCCCACTTGAACACCAGGTTGTGCTCTTTCACCATAAAGTAGCTGTCATTCACTTATCAGTTACTCTCAATTTAGAATTGTATAGAGATACTTCATTAATCACCGTGGGGAAATTCTGTTTTTGCCTGGCCCATCTTTTTCCCCATGAAACACACTGTAGTTCTGGTTATTCCTATTCACTCTGCGAATGCCTGTTTAATGTTACTTCTGAGTGCAGGAATTTAGCCTGTTTCTCAGTGTTCACAATCTGTCAGGTTTGCCGAACACACAGACTAACCAACATTGAAAAGCACAAAATATATACACCTTCCAGAGCATTGTTTAGCTGAAATCTCACATTATTAATGAAAGTGGACTCATTTATCAGTGATTAAACACTGGGAGATATTGCTGCATTGTGGATAAATAATTAGCACAAGGCAGCAGGACAATTAAAAGACATGAATTAACACAATGACACCGAATGAGTGACCATTACGACACAGCAGCTTAGCCTGCATCTCGTAGCTAAATCTACAGTTTTCAATGGAATGAAACGTGGACATCGATCCATTTATTGGTCCATTTATTTTTATGCGCAAATCAGACAATCATGACTATTATCTATTCCGATTAACTGTGCAATCTATTCAATTCCTGAATTATGTCTACAGTAGTCATAATGGTAACACTTTACTTTAAGCTGTCATCTATAACGCACTATAGATACCTTCATAATGCATTATAATGGTCGGTATAAGCATTAAGGATGCTTTGTACTGATTATGAGGGTATCTATGGTGCATTATCAGCTTCATAAAGCATTCAAAATGCACAATAAACATGGTTATAATGGCTTATGCCTTTTGATAAATATTTATAGCCTTGTTCATAATGCTTTATGAATGCATTATAATGTGTTACGAATGTGTTAATAGATTCTTATAGACATGGTGTTCATAGAAAGTGTTACTGTCATTATAATGTTTAATGTGCTTTAGAGAATTTGGGGAAGACCTGGGGAATCTAATAACAGAAATACAGAGAAGCAGATACATGCCCCCAATTGGTTGCGGCCAATTCTTGCAGTATAAGTTTCCGTCTCCCAGTTCCATACTCCACTGTACCTGCCAGCACGGTGTTTAATGCTGTTTCCAGGAGATCAGACAACAAACACGCTGCTGTTGACCATCTATATTTAAACTCGCAATCACCCATGTAGATTAGCTCTGACATGCTTTGGTATGTCTGACAGTTGACTGTTACACGTAGTGCACAGACTGGCACCTCCATCAGATCGATGTCACTGTTCCTGTCATTGTTTCTCCTCNTGTGCATTTTAATAATTTATTATCAAAAATACAAACTGTAACAGTTACATGTCAAACAAACAAACAAAAAAAACAATTTTGAACAAAATAAACTAAAATTTAGTTAGTTTAGAAGACAGAACTAGCAAAAGAAATTGACACGAGATGGCAACTGACGGAAAATATCGCGACCAGCATTTACAGTATATACAATCTGCTGTCTTAGACCCACGTTTTAAGAGCTTGTCATTCTTTGACCAACACGAACGAGAAGATGCGTACTCCACAAGTTGTTTTTTATTCTGTTAGAAAAATTAGTCTGATGTTTGCAATTTGTTGTTTCAGATCAAGACTCATCCGGTCGTCTTAAATGGAAGTTTGTGGCTTTGCTCTGATATTTTTGATTTGTATTAGTGTTCTTTAAATTATTTGTTCCACATTTTGTCTTAAATATAGTTGTTCTAAACAATTTAATCAAATACTTAGGCTGTTAATTTGTTTGCCTTCTTTTTTATTCTAAGTTTTAGCGTTGTGCGATGTGCCATGTGCATTTATTAAATTGTTCGTTTTTGTTAATTTTCCTTTTGAACAATATAAAA